AATTATAATATTTACATGCCTTTTCTATCTTCTGATTTATCTTCTTCCCCACATCATGACTACTGCTAGGAGGCCTGCACATTATGCACAACATAATGCAGTCCTACATGCAGATCTACAGCAGCCATGCACAGTATGTTGCAGCCCTGCATGAAGGTTTACGACAGACATGGAAAGCATAACATATGGCTGGATGCACTTCTACAGTCCAAAGATGTACAAGTTAGGTGGATTGGCCATGCTGAATTATCCATAGTGTTCAGGTTAGGTGCGTTAGCCTTGGGAAATGCAGGGTTATGTGGATAGGATAGGGGGATGGGTCTGGGTGGAATCCTGTTTTAATGGTCGGTGTGGACTTGTTGGGCCAAGGACTGTTTTCATACCCTAGGGATTCTATTCTATTCTATGAGCAATTATGCACAGCATAATGCAGCCCTGCATGCAGGTCATGCAATAGCCATACGCAGCACAACTTAGCCCTGCATGCAGATCTGTTGAGGAGGGTTCGAGATTTAGAATCAGTTTCAAAGCCTTGCTAAGAAGGACAAAACTTGGAAGTCCAGGAACGTTTTCAGTCAGGTGAGGAGATATGCAGTAACCTTCTGTGTCGTATTCCAGTGAACTATCCATCACCCCATTCATTCCACACAACTGTCAGTCAATGACCATGTCAAATATAACAGAATCTAACCATCTCCATGACAAATTCAACAGAATCACCATCACTGAATCCCTTGCTATCAAAATCCTTTTTTATTTGTTCAGACATACGTGCTTTTCTTGAGGGGTCAGCATTTATTTCCCTTCCCCAATTACCCTTGAGAAGGAGGTGGTGAGCTGCCTTCTTGAACCGTTGCAATCCACAATGCTTTGAGAGAGTGACTTGGGATTTTGACCCTATGACAGTGAATCAATGACAATGTATTTCCAAGTCAGGATGGTAAATGGTTTGAAGGGGAAATTGTAGGTGGTAGTGTTCCCATGTATCTGCTGCCCTTGTCCTTCTCGGTGGTGCATGGCCATGGGTTTGGAAAGTGTTGAGTAAGCAGTCTTGGTGAATTACTGCACTGCATCTTATAGATAGCACACACTGCTCTCACTGAATGTTGGCAGTGAAGGAATTGGATGTTTGTGAACGTGGTGCCAATCAACTGGACTGCTTTGTCCTGGATGGTGTCAAGCTTCTTGAGTGTTGCTGGAGCTGCACCTATCCAGGCAACTAGGTAATATTCCATCATGCTCCTGACTTGTGCCTTGTAGATGGTGGACAGGCTTTAGGGAGTTAGGAGATGAATTACTCACGGCAAGATTCCTTACCTCTGGCCTGGGAGCTTGCCATTGACCAGAAACTGAACTGGTCTGGTCATGTAAACACTGACTACAACAGCAGGTCAGAGGCCAGGAATTCTGCAGGAATCTCCCCCATGGCTGTACATCACCTACAAGGCACAAGTTAGGGGTGTGGTGGATGGCTGCAGCTTCAATAGCACCGAAGAAGCTCAACATCATTCAGGATAAAGTAACCTACTTGATTGTTTAAGGAAGTGGATGGGATACCACTCAGTTTCTATACCAATGGTCCATTGAGAAGGTGATCTGCAGTAATTTGCTATTGCTTCTTCAAAAGCAACTTCCAAATACACAACATCCACCAATGTGAATTCCAGAAGATCAAAGGCAGCAGAGAACATCACCACCTGCATAATCTCCTTCACAGACTAACATGGCTGGACATTAACTCTGTCCTTTCACTATTTCTGGGTCAAAGTCCTGGAACTCTCTCCCTTCTCTTCATGGGATGCATTGCTTCAAGAATGCAACCTATGACTACCTTCTTAA